GGGCAACAGTCAACCGAGCCGAATACATGCAGATCGCGAGGGAGCGCAAGCAGCAGTGCGCAACTTTTCCCGAGGTGTCCATCCGAGAGGACGTCGCCCCGACGCGGCTGCCAGAGGACGGCGTGCCAGACCACATCCAGGCCTGTCTGCAACCGGTGGATGGTGCCGACAAAGCCCCGGTGCGTTTGTTGGGGCCAGCACCCGGAGCGCCGGAGGTGGGCAGAGACGACGAAGCGGGAAACGAGTCTGACAAGGAGGACGAGTCTGACGAGCAGAAAGAGACAGACAAAGACGGACAACCACCAGAACAGCCTGACATGGCCTACCTGCATGAGAACGTGGCAGAGTTCACAGTTGCAGTGGATCCAGTGCATGACGTCGCTCCAGTCCGAATGATGCAAGCGCTGCAAGGCACGCTGGTGGCACTGCAGGAGCAGGCGGCACGCGTCGCAAAGAACGAGGCGACACCGACAGTGGCAGACAGCAGCGGTGCTCTTCAGCCTGTTGCCGACGAAGGCGGCAGGTATACTATGCGCAGCATGGTTCTCGATGTGCAGAGTGCTGCTCGTTCGTTTGACGAGCGAGCGCAAGTGGTGCTGGAGACAGCGCAAGCAGGAGCAGACGCGTGCAGGGCGGTGGGCCCGCACTCCTTATCGGTGCCTACGCAGAAACCCTTGAGTTCCTTCGACAGCAGGTCCTGGCCGGCGTGCTACACAGAGTTCTGGTTCGGGGACGGCGCGACGAACCTCGAGCGGGATCGGCCCATGTTGTTCGAACAGGTATGCCCCAGGAACACTACCAATACTACCATTAGTCAGAGCAATGATTTGTACTGGCACAGTTCCAGTGTTTCGTGAAATTAGTAGTGCTAGTACTGGTAGTAGTCCTTCGAGGTCGCGCGACGCGTCGGAGGCGAAGGAGGATGAGGTGGAAGAGGAGGGGGGACTCTGTCTGCCAGTCTGTGCGGTGCTTCTAATCCTGCAGGTTTGCTTCGTTTTCCGCTTCTGTTCGCCGCCGGACCGGCGCGATCTAGTTCCAAAAGTGATGCGCTGCACGACCGCGTTCAGCTTCTCTGCTGAAGAGGACGAGGAGGGGGAGGAAGAGAAGGAAGAGGACGAGCAGGAGGAGAAGGAGGAAAAGGAAGAGGAGGGCGGAGGTGGAGGAAGATGAGGTGGAAGAGGAGGGGGGACTCTGTCTCTGAGTCTCTGTGGTGCGTTTAAGCCGGCAGGGTTGCCACGCTTGTTCGCTTGTGATCGCCGCCAGACTGGCGCGATCTTCGAGAAGACGAACAGGAGAGGTGATGGATCCAACTCTCCATGCCCGCTGTGCTTGTCAGCCTGCAGTATTGGAAGACTACTTCCAAAGGTAATGAACTGCTCGGCCGCGTTGGCACGGTGCCTGCGAGTGTCTGCGATGCTTCTTAGCTTGCAGCTTTTGCCCGTTTTCTCGCTCCGTACGCTGCACTCATTTGTGTTCCTCGTGCGTGTCCGAAAAAAACACTTCGAAAGAACGCAGCCATCAAACGCAGCATTCATTGATACATAAGCTCTACTTTAAACAATCATGGTCAACATGACATCATCCACTTCAAACGCTTCCGTGAGCACGCAGTGAACGTAGATACCAGAGTCTCATTTGAAACTGCATTCGTTGATACCGAGTGCTTGTTTAAACTCACATCCGTCGATTGCAGACTTTGATGCAAAAGTCTACAATGAGAGTCCGAGTTGAATATTAATGAAATCGCCATCTGAATCTAAATGATGGTGCACACATATATGCTTTTACACATCGCTGTTAGGTTGCTTTGCTGGGATAATTTGGTGGGCCCGGGGCCGGTTCAGGGGCACTGGTGGCCGAGAACGGCCTCAGGAAGCGAAGAGTTGCCCGGAAGCTTCGGGAGCAGCAAAAGTACCCGAGGGCGTCCGGTCAGAGGGTTGTGTGGGGCCTCTTGGGGGCCTCTCGGGGGTATATTGGAAGGTTCTTGGAAGCCTGTAGGGGCCGCTTGGGGCCCCCCTGCGGGCCTCTCGGGGCCGAGGGCCCGCAAAGTCAATTCGGATCCCCTGTCTTGGGGGCCTCTGGGGCCGTCTTGGGCGGCTCTTGGGCCGTCTTGGGGCCCCTTGGAGGCCTCCTGGGCCGTCTTGGGGCTCTCTTGGGCCGTCATGGGGCTCCCTTGGGGGCCTTTTGGGCCGTCTTGGAGCTCTCTTGGGGGCCTCGAGGGCCGTCTTGGAGCGTCGGAAAGCCGGAAAAGCGAGAAAGCAAAAAACAATGAAAAACCAATGAACATCAACGAGTTTGGCTTCGTCGGGCCATCTCGGAACGCCTCTCAGAACTCTCTTAGAGCCGTTTGGAAGTCTATTGGGCCGCCTATTTGCCCTCTTGGGCCCATCTTTGGGCGGCTCCAAGGGCGTCTTGGAGCGTCGGAAAGCTGGAAAAGCGAGAAAGCAAACAACATCGTAAAAACCAATGAACATCAACGATTTTGGCCTCGTGAGGCCATCTCGGATCGCCTCTCGGAGTTCTCTGGGGGGGCTCTTGGGCCGTCTTGGGGCGCGCTTGGGGGTCCCTGGGCTGTCTTGGGGCTGTCTTGGGCCGTCATGGGGCTCCCTTGAGGTCCTCTTGGGCCGTCTTGGGGCCCCTTGGAGGCCTCCTGGGCCGTCTTGGGGCTCTCTTGGGCCGTCATGGGGCTCCCTTGGGGGCCTTTTGGGCCGTCTTGGAGCTCTCTTGGGGGCCTCGAGGGCCGTCTTGGAGTGTCGGAAAGCCGGAAAAGCGAGAAAGCAAAAAACAATGAAAAACCAATGAACATCAACGAGTTTGGCTTCGTCGGGCCATCTCGGAACGCCTCCTCAGAACTCTCTTAGAGCCGTTTGGAAGTCTATTGGGCCGCCTATTTGCCCTCTTGGGCCCATCTTTGGGCGGCTCCAAGGGCGTCTTGGAGCGTCGGAAAGCTGGAAAAGCGAGAAAGCAAACAACATCGTAAAAACCAATGCACATCAACGGTTTTGGCCTCGTGAGGCCATCTCGGATCGCCTCTCGGAGTTCTCTGGAGGGGCTCTTGGGCCGTCTTGGGGCGCGCTTGGGGGTCCCTGGGCTGTCTTGGGGCTGTCTTGGGCCGTCATGGGGCTCCCTTGGGGTCCTCTTGGGCCGTCTTGGGGCCCCTTGGAGGCCTCCTGGGCCGTCTTGGGGCTCTCTTGGGCCGTCATCGGGCTCCCTTGGGGGCCTTTTGGGCCGTCTTGGAGCTCTCTTGGGGGCCTCGAAGGCCGTCTTGGAGTGTCGGAAAGCCGGAAACGCGAGAAAGCAAAAAACAATGAAAAACCAATGAACATCAACGAGTTTGGCTTCGTCGGGCCATCTCGGAACGCCTCTCAGAACTCTCTTAGAGCCGTTTGGAAGTCTATTGGGCCGCCTATTTGCCCTCTTGGGCCCATCTTTGGGCGGCTCCAAGGGCGTCTTGGAGCGTCGGAAAGCTGGGAAAGCGAGAAAGCAAACAACATCGTAAAAACCAATGAACATCAACGGTTTTGGCCTCGTGAGGCCATCTCGGATCGCCTCTCGGAGTTCTCTGGGGGGGCTCTTGGGCCGTCTTGGGGCGCGCTTGGGGGTCCCTGGGCTGTCTTGGGGCTGTCTTGGGCCGTCATGGGGCTCCCTTGGGGTCCTCTTGGGCCGTCTTGGGGCCCCTTGGAGGCCTCCTGGGCCGTCTTGGGGCTCTCTTGGGCCGTCATGGGGCTCCCTTGGGGGCCTTTTGGGCCGTCTTGGAGCTCTCTTGGGGGCCTCGAGGGCCGTCTTGGAGTGTCGGAAAGCCGGAAAAGCGAGAAAGCAAAAAACAATGAAAAACCAATGAACATCAACGAGTTTGGCTTCGTCGGGCCATCTCGGAACGCCTCTCAGAACTCTCTTAGAGCCGTTTGGAAGTCTATTGGGCCGCCTATTTGCCCTCTTGGGCCCATCTTTGGGCGGCTCCAAGGGCGTCTTGGAGCGTCGGAAAGCTGGAAAAGCGAGAAAGCAAACAACATCGTAAAAACCATTCTAGTCCCTCACCTGTTTCTTTTTGGCCAGCGGGTGATTATATGTGTCGAGAGCAGGTTCGAGCTCGATCGCACGGCGACGAAACACTCCGGGCTCCGCCGACGTGCAACACAAAACGAGACCATCACTCTGCGCAGATTAAGCGGGCGGGCTCGGGAGGGAGCCTTAATTGCTGCGGAGCATATTCTGTTAACAGACGGCCTTCAAAGCCCAGGGAGGACGAGAAACTGAGATTAAATCAACGATTCTAGTCCCTCACCTGTTTCTTTTTGGCCAGCGGGTGATTATATGTGTCGAGAGCAGGTTCGAGCTCGATCGCACGGCGACGAAACACTCCGGGCTCCGCCGACGTGCAACACAAAACGAGACCATCCATATTGTAGCTAAATCCAGCACCCGCCGAATTTACGATCTGGCCTAAGGCCGCTGGGGTGGGAGGGTTCGGGAACACAATAAAAAATTTTGGAATGCCCCTTACATCCTACACACCGATATCAAAGGACAAAGCCTTCTTCCCAAGACCGAAGGGGTCCCAGGAAGTCAGTGCCTCAAAGGCCTACCACGAATCTTTTCGCTTGAAAAATCGTGCGACGGAGTCGAGCCGTAGAGACTAACAGGCTTAAATCTTTCAACCTCTAAATGCGGGTGACCCGGGCTCGGATCGACAGCTTCTTTGGCCGAAAGACCCTGAACGCACAGACGGGCCAGAGGATCCCCGGACCACCGAGATTTTTTGAGCGCATCCAGCAGCGAGCGACGAGGATGGGCCCAGAAGGCCCGTCCCCTGGAGAGGTCGACCCGGGAAAGAGAAGCCCTACTCTCAGTCAGAACATGCTGCTTCGTGTATCTCTGGACACTACTCAGAGCGGACCATCTTCCCCTCCTCCTGCACGACTCCAAAGACCCATTTCTATAGACGAACTCGGCCGCTCCGGAGTGCCGCAGGGAGTGCGGAGGGCCGAGGTCCTGCAGACCTAGGCTCAGGGCGGCCTTGCCCCAGTGCCTCCGGTACTCGGAGGTCGTGAGCGCGAAGACGAGGCCGTCGCCGGGGACGCTCCTGGCCAGCGTCTCCACGATGGCCGCGGTGTACGGCGACGCGATGAGGAGGCCCTGGTTGGCGCCCGTCTTGACCATCTCGCCGCGCTCCCGGCTGCCGAGTCGCACGGCCACCTGGTCCCCATCGGAGATAACATCGGACCCGCGGAGAAGATACCAGTCCTGCTCCCTGCCGAAGATGTCGTACGAGTACAAAACTGCGATGGCAGACATGATGTAACCGAAGTCGATGAGCTTGAGGATCATCAGCGCCACGATCTCCCTGCAGATGGCCTTTCCCTCTGGCATCATACGGAGCGCCTCCCACGACTTGAGAGCCCTGGCGCTGAGCGGCATGGCGTCCTTGTGCTCAGGAAAGATGTGAGCAAAGCCCGAAAGGAGGTGGCCACCGTGAACGTGAGGCAGCTGGAGGGTGTAGCACATGAAGGACAAGTACTGGGCCATGGCTGCGTCACGCTGCTTGATCGTGTCCAAAGGTATGGCGTCTTTCTGAGCAGCTCGAAGGAAGCGACTGACCCAGTTGACGTAGATCCAGTTGGTATTGTCATCAACCTTGTGGATCAGCAACCTCGGAGCTTCCTGGCCTAGACCGTCAAAAGGATTCCTGTCCGCAGCATTTATCCAAGCTCTGGCGCCTCTCCTCTTCAAGGGGACGACATCAATTCTCCTCACAGGATAATGATCACCTCCAGGAAGATCATGGACCTCCGTCCTGAAGCCCTTCTTTCTTGATCGTCCAATGCGCGCCGCAGAGCCGTAATCAACTTCCCCAGGGGCGAGGTCTCGCTTCACAGTGGGCCCTGCGTCGACGAGCGCAAACTGCACGAGGGACAGCAGACAGACAACCTTGAAGCACCACAGCGGAAACAAGGGACGATGCGTCAGAGCCGCCCCACTTTTGTCGAGGCTGAAGTAGCACACCTCGGTCTGAACCTTCTCAGACGACCCAGAACCTTCTTTGGGACACCCTTCACCTTCATCAAAGCCTTCCCGGCCGTGCCCTTGTCGATGCCGAGGGGACCCCCGCGAGAAGGCCCGTCGGCGACATTGTTGGGACTCGAGACCCAGCGGAAAAAGGGCCGCATCCCACTGACGAGTTGCACCGCTGCTGCTTGCCGACATGGCCGAAGAAGCGGACGAGAACTTGAGCGGCCCTTGGCTAGGCAGCCCAACGTGACTAGGGAATCGGTGATGATGAGGACCCTCTTGTTCCAGTGTGCAGGTGCTCGTGAAAGTCGTCGAAGGATGGCCACGGCCGCCCGGCACTCGAGGACATTCTGGTGCTCGTCCTTTTCCCACTCCTTCATGGTGATGAGATGCCAACGCGACCGCTTCCTCCAGGAGGGGCCTACCTCGGGGGGCGGCCCCCCTTTTGGCCTGGACGGACGGGGCGGCAAAATCCGAGAGCCCTCGCCAGGCAAAGTCGGCAGCGGAACCAAATCGGTCAACAAGTCGGCGTAGGCCCTGCAGAGGCGCCAAGGGTATGGGCACGCAACCTTGGTCCAGAGCTCGTTGGCCACGGAGAGGTAGCCCGGCGTGCCCGAAGGCACTCTCCCTCGCAGCTCTTGGTGAGGAAGACCCGTGGCCGAACAAACCCCCTTGTGCATGTGGCAACGCTTGGCCAGAGGTGAAAGGGCGTCGCAGTTGGTCACAAGCCTGGTGGTCTTTCGCCAGTCCTCGCCATACTGACAGTAGTCGAGCGTTATGGTGAAGACCGTGGGGAGCTCGCACAGGTCCTTCATCGGCTCGAACTCCCAGGCCAACGAGGTGCAAGGGTTCTCGATCACGAAGTAGATCCCGTGGTTCACGCAGTAGACCGCCAACTCGACCGCCACCAGCATCAGGTAGGTGCCAGTCCTGACCGCCTCGCGCTTGTCGAACGAGAGGCCAGGTACGCCCAGCAAGTGCCGCAGCGAGCGCAAGGGCGGCGATCGTGCCCTTGACCACGTGGCGCAGGGCGGGCCCATGTGGATCATCCAATACAGGCCGGCACGTACCGCCCGCCACAACTTCGCCAGGTTCTCGTCGATCGTGAGGTCGAATCGCGCGCCCATCTCGACGTCCCAGGTGTCGGTCCATAACGATGTCAGCTGACCGACGATGAGCGCCAGCCTCCCAGAGCCCGAAAAAAGCTCGAGGAAACCAGGGCGTCCCCGACGTGACTCCCTGCATTGCTGGTGCTCGTCGGCCTCGGCGTCGAGCCCCTGCTGCGCGAAGGCCTCCTCCTCCACGCGGCTGTACTCGTCCTCGATGCTGGTCGCCCAGCCCCTCATCTCGCTCAGCCTCGCCTCGGCCCGGAGCTCGTGCAGGTTGGCCTTGGAAGCGACTACGCCGTAGCCCCACGACGAAGCGTCTGACATGAAAGCCCAGTCGTGCCACCCCGCCGTGAGGTCCGTGAAGAAGAAGATGGAGAGGGACACGATGGCGGAGATCTCGTCCTTCACCTCGCCCCATAGAGGCGCGTCGGTGGCGTCGCGGAACTGGAGCACCCAGGCGTAGATCGCGTGCGGAATGCTTAGGGCAGACCTCGCACACATCATGGCCCACGTCGCGAGGCCCAGCCATGACTCGACCCCTCGGGGGGGCGCAACCTCCGCCGTGAGCAAGAACTCGCCGATCAGTACCAAATCCTTCATCTTCTCCTCCACGATGTGCAGATGGCCGTGCTCGGAGAGGGTGACGCCCAGAGTGCGCTCGAGGCCGTGCCCGAAGCGCTCCTTGTGCGAGTCGAGCCCGTGCTCCCCCAGCTTCTTCTTGATCCGATCCAAGTCCCCGGACACCTCCAGGTCGGTTTCGGCCAGACCCTTGCGCTCCAGCCTCATGCCTCCGTAGTCGTCGATGAACAGCCAATGGAGCATCCCGAAGTCCGGGAACTGCGGCGCGGCCGACGCGGTCTGCACTCGCGCCGAGCCCCCCTCGAACTCGACCTGGTCCACGACGTCCTGGAGGCAGCTGTGGGCAAAAAAGACGGCCCAAGAAAAGCCCATAGGGAGGACCTTGAGGGCCACGCTCTGGCCATCGTCGGGCCTGCCAAGGCCAGCCGCCTCGCACTCGGGCGATGCCGCGTCCCACAGCTCGGCGGCGGAGACGCCCTGGAAGACGAAGAAGGGCCAGAGCGAGGGCGGTAGCGCCAACCGATAGAAGAAGTCCGGAACGTCGCCCACGAAGGATGTGACCTCGAGCTCGCCCTTGATGTCCTCGCTCAGCTCGATGGCCGCGAGGGCCGCAGGGGAGCCCATCGGCGTCCATGGCGGCGCATGAAAGCGGAGATTGGCCCTCCTCATGTCCCAGACCAAACGAGAGGAGAGCACACCCTGGTCGTCCATCTTCTTCACCACCGTGAACACGCTGACAAACTCTTGCACCTCCGTAGTCCAGGCCAACATCTTGCCCGCCAGGAGCTTTCGCAGCAACTTCACCCGCACCTGCTTGCTTCTCAACACTGGATCCGAATACGGTCGAATCGAATCGTACTTCACCCAGTCCACCTCGAGGTCGTTCTTGATCATGGTTTCCAGCGGGCAGGACAAGTAAGGCCTGGCCGTCGGGGAAGCAGCGCACAAGTCCACGGGCTCGGTGTCGCCCGGTGGGACCGCCACGTTCTCGACCACGAGCGGGCAAAGGTCGCCTCGACAAAGAGCGCCCCGCTGGATCCCTCCAGTAGCCGCAGAATAGAAACCGCCAGAATCTCGCGCCAGGCGGGCAAAAGCCGCCTTGCCATCGGGGAGCCGCCCCCAGGCCCGCCGACCCCACCACAGACTCCACGCCCTCGAAGTCACAGCCCTCTGGGTAGCCGTGGCACTCTCCCAAGCCTTCGAGGAGCCTCTCCAACTCGTCGATGCCAGACCTGACAACGACCCTCGCGTCATCGCCACGATAGCGTTCGCCGAGCGGTTCACCCTCTTCAAGGTGAGGAGCAGCTCGTCGTCGGACCCCTGCCCGAAGCACACCGGCAGGAAGCCTGGGGACCTCGGCACTCCGCCCAAAGGATCGCGAGCACGAGCGCGCGCCATGACGAAGGCGGGCAGGCACACAAAGAACGGCTCCAGGCCAACGCCACCGATGATGAAGCTGACCGTCGTGAGCTCCAGCACGTGCAATGCCAAGGCACTGGGCCTCAACGCCGAAGATCACGAAGAGCGAAGCGCACAAAAACTTGCAATTGAACTTGAAGAGCTTGGAGAGCAGCGATCGGCACCCAGCTGGGACTTCCCGCTCCTCACTTGCCGAAGGTGAGGCCGGTGACCGTCACTCGTCGTCGCGGGCCCCAGCGCCCGGTGCCCCCCCGCCTGCCTTATCCAGGTACTTCGCGAAAAGGGCCTTGCGCTCGAGCCGCTTCCTGACCTCCTCGTCGGCTTCCTCGATCATCAGGTCGTCACTCTCGAGGGCGAGGGCGTCGTGCTCGTCAGCTAGATCCCAGCGAACCTTTGAGCGCCACTTCTTGCCGCCCTCGCCCTTGGGTTGCTTCCAATCGCTCATCTTGGAGACCTGCTCCCAAGCGCGGAAGAGGCCGTAGATCCGCCTGCAGATGACCTCCACCGCCTCGGAGTTGATCATCTCGAACTTCGTCGCCACCATGCGGTCGAGGATGGCCGCGAGGAGGCGGAGCTCTCCCGCCACGTGCGAGGTGCTCATCTCCTTCGACTTGATGTACTCCTTAACCTGGAAGGTCGCGGTGGTGTTGTGCCTGTAGAGGCGCGACAGCACCTTGGGAGCGATGCGAGCCTCGGAGGGCCCGATCTTCCAATCGGTGATCTGGAACTTCTTGAGCTGCTCCAACATGCTCAAGCGCGGGTTGTCCGACTCACGCTCGAGCTCCGTGAGGTACTTCTGTATCGACTCCTTGGGGGAACCCCGAGCCGCAGAGGTGGCGCCGAGGCCAGCGGCGGCTTCAGGTCTCTCCTCACCCGCATCTCGCTCCACAGCGCCTTCACGCTCTCGGAGCCGATGAAGGAGCGAGTCGATCCCAGTCTTCACGTCCGCTTCGTCCGCAGGCGACCCGCCTGGCGGAGCCGGTGCGCTCGAAGCAGAACCCGCAGCCGCCATGGTCGAAGACGTCGGGCCCGAAGAGGACGCACCGGACTTGATCAGCTTCTTGAGGTCGTCCATCTGGGACTGAAGGCTCGCCTGCGAGCTGAGCAGCACGGCGAGGGCCCCGTCGGGGCCGCCCCGCAACGAGTCCTCGTCAGAGTCCGAAGCGGCCGTGCCCTCATCAGGCGAAGAAGAATCGGAGTCGGTCTCATCTCCAATCCTCGACCACTTGCGACCGCGAGCCCGACGACTCCTCACTGTGGGCCAGAACACCAAGAGGAGAATGAAGAGAAGCCCCAGCGCGATGATCGCCAGATCGTAGTCGCCGTCGTCGTACTTGGTGCGGATGCTCTGGTACCGCTCGTCCATGTCGTCGAACAAATCGCCAACCTCCCTGACTCGCTCGATGCTGGAGCTGACCAGGTCGCCGATCCCCAGGGCCGACCAGGCCTTGTAGGCCACAAGGCATCCCAAGCCCACGACCCCGAAGGTGCGATGCGTCCAGACGGCCACTCCCGTGGTGAAAGCGTTCTCGGCAATCCAGTACACCATGTTCGAGCGATTGCTCTTGCGCCCCTTGCCGGTCTTGGCCGCCGCCTTGGGCTTCAGTTTGGCGGCCGCCTTCTTGCGCCCGAGGGCCCAGTCTCCCCAGCCTGCTCCACGTCGACGTCGAATGCGGAGGCTCTCATCCTCCAGCTCCTTCTTCTCGTCCCCCGTGACGCCGGGGAACGGAGCCCAGTCGATCCCCGCGCGGGGCCTCGTGAAGACCTTCTGCTTGTCCCTCAAGTCCTTGGTCTGCACACGCCCTGTCGGATCCACGATCGTGTAGGTCCCCGGCTCTCCTTCGACTGGGTCGATCACGAGCGCCGTCATGCCGCGTCGCCCAGCCACATCAGTGAGAAGATAGACTCGATTCCACTTCTTCCACGCCATCGGCTCGACGTCGTCGTAGTACAAGGACGTGTACCCGTCGTAGTCGCTGTACCCGCGGCTGGGCTCCACTTCGATGCCGTCGAAATGCTCCACCTCCTCGAGCTCTGGATCGCCGGCCTCGTCGTCGTCCCTGTAGTAGCTACCAGAACCCGGATCCAGGCCGAAGAGGCTCCTCAAAGCTCGCCGCCCTCGACTGCCAGCGAAGGAGAGGGCGGCGAACGACAACCACAAGCAAGTGCGCGTGATGCCCGCGATGGCGCGCGCGGCGCCGACCCGAAGGTCCGGGAAGAAGGCACTCGCTCTTAGCCTTAATTGCTGCGGAGCATATTCTGTTAACAGACGGCCTTCAAAGCCCAGGGAGGACGAGAAACTGAGATTAAATCAACGAATGAACATCAACGATTTTGGCCTCGTGAGGCGATCTCGGATCGCCTCTCGGAGTTCTCTGGGGGGGCTCTTGGGCCGTCTTGGGGCGCGCTTGGGGGTCCCTGGGCTGTCTTGGGGCTGTCTTGGGCCGTCATGGGGCTCCCTTGGGGTCCTCTTGGGCTGTCTTGGGGCCCCTTGGAGGCCTCCTGGGCCGTCTTGGGGCTCTCTTGGGCCGTCATGGGGCTCCCTTGGGGGCCTTTTGGGCCGTCTTGGAGCTCTCTTGGGGGCCTCGAGGGCCGTCTTGGAGCGTCGGAAAGCCGGAAAAGCGAGAAAGCAAAAAACAATGAAAAACCAATGAACATCAACGATTTTGGCTTCATCGGGCCATCTCGGAACGCCTCTCAGAACTCTCTTAGAGCCGTTTGGAAGTCTATTGGGCCGCCTATTTGCCCTCTTGGGCCCATCTTTGGGCGGCTCCAAGGGCGTCTTGGAGCGTCGGAAAGCTGGAAAAGCGAGAAAGCAAACAACATCGTAAAAACCAATGAACATCAACGATTTTGGCCTCGTGAGGCCATCTCGGATCGCCTCTCGGAGTTCTCTGGGGGGGCTCTTGGGCCGTCTTGGGGCGCGCTTGGGGGTCCCTGGGCTGTCTTGGGGCTGTCTTGGGCCGTCATGGGGCTCCCTTGGGGTCCTCTTGGGCTCTTGGGGCCCCTTGGAGGCCTCCTGGGCCGTCTTGGGGCTCTCTTGGGCCGTCATGGGGCTCCCTTGGGGGCCTTTTGGGCCGTCTTGGAGCTCTCTTGGGGGCCTCGAGGGCCGTCTTGGAGCGTCGGAAAGCCGGAAAAGCGAGAAAGCAAAAAACAATGAAAAACAAATAAACATCAACGATTTTGGCTTCATCGGGCCATCTCGGAACGCCTCTCAGAACTCTCTTAGAGCCGTTTGGAAGTCTATTGGGCCGCCTATTTGCCCTCCTGGGCCCATCTTTGGGCGGCTCCAAGGGCGTCTTGGAGCGTCGGAAAGCTGGAAAAGCGAGAAAGCAAAACACATCGTAAAAACTAATGAACATCAACGATTTTGGCCTCGTGAGGCCATCTCGGATCGCCTCTCGGAGTTCTCTGGGGGGGCTCTTGGGCCGTCTTGGGGTGCGCTTGGGGGTCCCTGGGCTGTCTTGGGGCTGTCTTGGGCCGTCATGGGGCTCCCTTGGGGTCCCCTTGGGCTGTCTTGGGGCTCCCTTGGGGGCCTCCAGGGCCGTCTTGGAGCGTCGGAAAGCTGGAAAAGCGAGAAACTAACAAACATTGTAAAAACCAATGAGAATCAACGATTTTGGCCTCGTGAGGCCATCTCGGAACGCCTCTCGAAGCTCTCTGGGGGGGTTCTTGAAGGCCTCTGGGGCTGCTTGGGGGCCTCCTGGGCGCCTCTTGGGGCTCCTGGGAGCTTCTTGGGGCCGACGGCCCGAAAAGTCCATTCGGATCTCTCCGTCTTGGGTGCCTTTTGGGCCGTCTTGGGCGGCTCTTGGGCCGTCTTGGGGCCCGCGGGGGGGCCTCCTGCGCCGTCTAGAGGCTCTCTTGGGCCGTCATGAGGCTCCATTGGGGTCCTGTTGGGTCGTCTTGGGGTTCCCTTGAGGGCCTCCAGGGCCGTCTTGGAGCGTCGGAAAGCTGGAAAAGCGAGAAAGCAAAAAACATAGAACAAACCAATTAACATCAACGATTTTGGCCTCGTGAGGCCATCTTGGAACGCCTCTCGGAGCTCTGTTGGGGCCGTTTCAAAGTCTATAGGGCGGTCTGTTTGCCGTCTTGGGCCCATCTTTGGCCACGTTGGGGCCATCTAATCTTTCCTGGGGAGGCTTTTGGAGGCTCCCCAGGGACTTCTGGGAGCGTCCTGGGCCTCTCTGGGGCGGTCTGGCGCCTCCACCCACCCACACACACACACACACACACATACATACATGCATACATGCATACCTGCATACCTGCGTACATGCGTACATGCGTACATGCGTACATGCATACATGCATACATGCATACATGCATACATGCATACATGCATACATGCATACATGCATACATGCATACATGCATACATGCATACATGCATACATGCATACATGCATACATGCATACATGCATACATGCATACATACATACATACATACATACATACATACATACATACATATATAAGCACATACATACATGCATGCATTCATGCATACATTCATTCGTACACACATCATTCACACATACACATACTTGAACACGTGCAGGTGTCATACATGTTCGCCCCCTCTCAGAGTACCTCCTCTCCGACCTTACATCACACATTACACCCCCGATCTCGAGAAATGCTAGAAGCGAGGAGCGCGAGGAACTGTGGGCAGGAGGAGGACAACTAATGGCAAGAAGACAGCGTTGATGTTGCACACGGACTGGGTCTCATGGCCCCTCATTGTGCTATCCTCAAGTGGTCCGTTGGCTCCAATCCCCCCCCCCCCCGCAACTGTCCTGTAACGAAGGCAGCCCAGGCCCCCCACATACCACATCACATCTTATGGTTTCAGAGCTTCTCTCTGGGGCCTGCGGCCCGACGACCGCCGTCGGCTGCTTGTGCCCTGGGCAAGGCCCCTTGCCAATTGCAGTACACGCAACCGCCGAGCGGCGGGCAACACCTTTTTCAATGTACAAGTGGCTGCGTTTTGAGCTTGCTGTGCAAAAAACAAACAAAACAAACAACAACCGCCCAGTGAAATGGTTCGCGCGGTAATCCCTGGAATATTGCACACACACACCGCGTCGTGGCTCACATGCAACGGCGCACTTTCATTAACGTAAGCGTGATACTTATACAACGCAGAAGCGGCTTTATATGTGAAAGCGAAGGTGGTACATCACGATCTATGGAACCATACATGTGGCGGTCTTGAGCTATTCACCGTCAGAGCGCGTCGGCTACATCCACAGGCATTCAGCAAAAACTGTAAACATGGTCCTGGCGGGTGTTGGGGTGGGCTGTTCTCTCGTGGTGTAAGAACCAAGGGCGACGCCAAAGGCAGCACTGCGTAAACAGCGCCACGGCAATCAGCTTCTTGAGGACGGACGCGCTCCTCCCAAAGAGGGGGTCGGCGGGCGACGCGTCAGCCTGAACAATCTCCCAGTGGCCTAGGCCGAGCGTGCTAATTGCGAATATGATCACCATCCCAGTGAAGACAGCAGTGCATACTTTCTCGTACCCGATGCCCCACACAGAATGCACGGTCCTCCACCGCACGACCCGCTCGTGCTCGCAAAACCGCTGTCCCAAGTAGAGCGCACGCCACGAGGCCCACAGGGCTAGATAGATAATATAGAACGGCACCACGAATGCTCCGACCACAGCGCAGGGCACCAACAGAGCGCACAGCGTCATCGGCAAGCACACCTCGCCTGTGATACTGACATGCATGCTATCGTCTAGGCCGAGTGAGTGGAGCAAGCCCCTGGGCCCCATCATGCGCTCCACAACGGCCACGAGCATCTCGTCATGGAGGCGCAAAAAATGGTAGGTGGCCACCTGGACGATGGACGCCGCCGACGGTTTCGCGCGCGTGTCCGACGCCCGGCTGGAAGCCCCTTCGCTGTCGCTCTCCTCGGTGCCGGGGCCGCTCGATGAAGCCATGCTCTTTGAGGTGCTCATTGGGGGGGTCCTTGGCATGCTTAGCATTCTTGTTCCGGTACATTATTGTTGTTGTCATAATTCCCCCGGACAGCTACAATAAAACCGTGATACAGTGCTCCGGCTTGCTCATGGCATGGCTATCGCGCTTCCCACCTTGCACGACTCACCCCCGTTTCTAAGCATTACCTTCTGTCACCTCTCTTTCGTCGCTCGCCTGGTGCCATGTCGGCACGGCTGGGATCTCGCCACTGACGGGTTTGAGGGGGCGAAAAGTCCCACGCGCGAGGCGCACGGTTCACACTTTACTCAGTACTCGTTCACCGTTGAACAATACCGACGGTAGACGGGGAGGCCTCCTTACGTCCGGCATTTTCCCAATAAATGTTTGTCTTTCGAACTTCGACGACGACGACAGTCTTCAGCGCAGAGCGGAGACGACGAGAAACGACATGTGCACGAGACAGGTGTCTCACAAGGTAACAACATACACACGCTCAAGACGTGCATGCAAGCATAAGAACTTGAACAAGCAGACCCTTGAACCAACCAAACCACATCGCGACACTTTCAGATCCTAACGGTCTAATTGAACACACGAATGAAACGCAACAACACAATGACCACCGCTAGATTCACAAGCGAAAACGCACATGCCCATTAACTCTTGCGCGCTTCTGGGATCTCACTTCTAGGCATCATCCCGCACCGAGTGCCGCACGATCTCACGGCGCGGCTCAGCCTCCAGCCTGTGGGAACTCAAGGCTGGACTGGGCCAGCCTCTCTTAAGATGCGCGCCTGTCGCATGCACTTCGCTCGGAAGATACCTTGGATCGACGATGTGCTTTGGATAAGCGCTTTTGTTCAAGACCCTTTCCCCGGCCTCTACGCTCGCCTGCGCGAGATTCTCAAACCAAAATCTGGCCATGTGTTTCTCCTTTCGGCTGCTGCTCCTGGTACTCCTCGTCCCTCTTCCTCCTGATCCCACCGACTCCTCCTCTTCCTACCATATTATCTCGCTGGCTGGGCCTGCCTGAAGGGTTCTTGCTGCTTGCTCACCAAGCATCGCTGTTTCGCCTGCGGTGCCCTAGCCTGTGGCGGGTTCTCCTGCACTTTATTGGGAAAACGCTGCGCGTGCGCCTCCCCCCCAACCCCCCCGCCGCGCGACGAAATCACCGACGACCTCGCCCACATGGCTTTGACAAAGTTTGGCACGTGAACTGCTGTGCATTGGAATTTGGGAGGACGCCATCTCTAGGTGCCTCCCTCGCGAACTGAACTGCCTGTGATCCGCGCCTGCCGAGATCTGCGCCGCCAGTGATCCGAGCCAACTCACTGTTATCCACAATTGTGGGGGGGACGTTGTGTCTTTCCCTCCTCTTCCTCCTCCATTCCTTTTCCATAAAAATGACTTTTCCTTGTCGCACCCCGAAGCCAGTAAATAGGGCGGGCCGGGCGTTTCGCCTGAGACTTCCTCACCATTTATGACCCTGAAGATTAAGCTTAAACAGTGGCAGAAGTTTCACAAATGGACGGCGGGTGGTTTTCAAAATGTGGCTCTCGCCTGAGCACCGCGCACATTCATTTTAAACATCTTCCAGAGTTTCACGGATTGAAGGCGGGTGGTTTTCAACGTGTGGCTCTCGCCTTAGCGCCGCGCACATTCGTTCTAACTATTTGCAAGCGTTTCACGGATTGAATGCGGGTGGTTTTCAACGTGTGGCTCTCGCCTTCGCGCCGCGCACATTCGTTTTTTAACAATTGCAAGAGTTTCACGGATTGAGGGTGGGTCGTTTTCAGAATGTGGTTCTCGCCTTAGCGCCGCGCACATTCGTTTTTAACATGTCCCAGATTTCGCGGATTGAGCGCGGTTCCTTTTCAAAATGTTGCTCTCGCCTTAGCGCCGCGCACATCCGTTCATAAAATTTGAAAGGGAAATCCACGGATTCCCATGATCAACGTACCAAGAAAATAAAGGTGGAAGGATTTAGGACGATGCGGGCGCAACACTTAGCTTGATTCGCGGCGTTGAAGTCACCCAAGTAACGTTTTGGCACGGCTCCAGATCGTCAAATCGCAACAAACAAGTTGATCCGTTGCGTTGAAATCCCGGAAACAATGCTTTGGCATGCTTCAGGGTCTGCAAGGGTGTCTTCCAACGAGGAAATTCCCACAGTGGAAATGAACAGTTTTAGGGGCCTATGAAGAAGAAGCTTGTAGGAAGGATAGATCAAACATCGTTGATGACTCTTTGGTTTACACTGGTCCTCCTCCTCCTCCTCCTCCTCCTCCTTTCTCTTTCTTTCCTTCTCTCTCTCTCTCTCTCTCTCGCAGCCGCTGACGCGTCATCCGCAAGGCACGCCCCGCGCCCGCCGCGGCCAGCCACGGACGGGCCGGGGAGGGTCCACCATTTTCCGGAAGGGAGATGAAGGCAGAGAAAGACCGCACACATTCCTGCACTTCCTCTTGAGGTCTCGGAGGAAGACGGAAGGTTGGTGGAACGGCGGGGCCACTCAACCGTAGGACAGGTACATACCGTAGACGTTGTACTTTTCTGGCGACGCCGCACACAGGGTACCTTCTCGGAAATGTTGCACATGATGGCGATGATGGTGATGATGGCGATGATGGTGGCTGCGATGATGATGATGCTGATGATGATGATGGCGATGCCTACAGCGCTTATAAAGTAAACCTGGTAGCTTGTGTGTAGAGATGTACGTACTAGTATACCTTTACCCGTAGCGCTGTGATAACACGTGATCTTCTCCAGCTTCAGGCAGGGCGGTCTCGCCTTGATCTTTATGGCGCCACCTGGCCGGGTAGTTCAAGTGGTGGCTCTCGTAACCCAGCTCGTGGTCATCTTAGCTGTGCTTGTGGTTTCCTGCGGATGAAGTCGCAGGGGCCGTGTTCCCCCGTGCCATCGGCCCAGCGGACCCTCAGCGTCTGGACGCTGAATTCCAACACCGCGCGATCGTAGCATTCCTCTACCGTAGTTGCCCTCCACCGTGTTCCCAATAACGATCGACTTTTCGGTTGTCCAGGTCTTCCGTGGGCCTTGGTGTCCGTCTCGTGGCCCTCGTAATGCAGCGGCTGGACCTGGTAGCTCAGCTTGAAGCCCCCGTAACCCTGCATGTGGCTCCCGTGGCTCAGCGCGTGGGGATTGCAGCTCAGCTGCTGGCCCTGGTAAATATGTTGCCGGCTCTCGTAAAACAGTAGGTGGCACTGGTGGCACTTCTGGTCGTTGTAGTAAGTCTGCGCGTTGCACACGAAGCAGATCTGGTGCCTCCAGTATCTGAGCAAATGGTCCGCGTAGCTCTGCTTGTGGTTATTGTAGCTCAGCAGGTAGCATTCGTGGTACAGTGTTTGGTCCTCGTTGCCCTGCTTGTGACCCTCGCAACAAAGTTTGCAGCTCCCGCGGCTCAGCTTGTAGTTATCGTAGCCTTGCGCGCGGCCCTCGTAGTTGAGCTTGCGGTCCTCGCCGTTACGAGGGTGGCTCTCGTAGCTGCGCCAGTGGTCCTCGTAGTTCAGCTTGTGGTACTCGAAGTCTGGTAGTTTTCCTGCTAGATCTACTTGTGGAGGTCGGAAGTTGGGGAGCGAAATCGGAGTGGAACGGATGACCCCCCACCGGGAAGTCGATTTCGGTTTTGAATTCTTGTCGTGCGTGCGGGGGAGGCGAAATTTCGTGGGCGGGCGAAAATAATGGCTCCGCTGTGACTAGGGCGGGTTAAAAACCGTTGACCACCCCTCCTCCCTCCCTGGTGGGCGGGCGGTGGCCGGGTTGTCCCGCAGTGGCGTCCCGCCGCAATTCGCCTCTCCTCCGCGGTGGGCGGGCGGTGGCCAGGTTATCCCGTCGGTGTCCCGTCGGTGTCCCATCGGTGTCCCGTCGGTGTCGCGTTGGTGTTCCGTGGCTGTCTCGTCGCTGTCCAATCGTTGTCCCGTCGCTGTCCCGTCGGTGTCCTGTTGGTGTCCCGTTGGTGTCCCGTCGGTGTCCCGTCGGTGTCCCGGCGGTGTCCCGTTGGTGTCTTGTCGTCGGTGTCCCGTCGGTGTCCCGTGGTGAGGTCGATCGTTAGATCGAAAGTGGGGCCGATCGTGAGGTCGATCTTGAGATCGAGTGAAGAGATCGATCTGACGACCAATGGTGAAATAATAATCATATCGGAAGTTAAATCGATTGTTGCCCCGATGTGATCCCGACGGTGTCCCGTGGTGTCGCGTCGGTGTCCCTTCGGTGTCCCGCGGGTGTCCCGTCGGTGTCCTGACGGTGTGTTTTGGTGTCCCGTGGTGCGATCGGTGGTGAGATCGATCGTGAGACCGATGTTGGGATCGATAATGAGATCGGTAGTGAGAGCGATATTCATATTTAGAATGATATCCACCGAATGAGGTCGATAGTGACATCGAGCGAATGAGATCGATATCGGGACGGGGAGTGAGATCGATTGGTGCCCCGATGGTGTGCCAATGGTGTCCCGTGGTGCGCCGTCGGTGTCCCGCGTGTGTCCCCTCGGTGTCCCTTCGGTGTCCCGTCGGAATCACGTCGGTGCCCCGTGGTGCGATCGAGAGTGAGGCCGTCGTGAAATCGATACTGAGACCGATCGGGAGATCGGGAATTAGATCGATTGGTGGATGTGTATGCCGATGGTGTCCCGTGGTGTCCTGTCGGTGTCCCGCGGGTGTCCCGTCGGTGCCCCTTCGGTGTCCCGTCGGAATCCCATCGGTGTCCCGTGGTGAGATCAATATTGAAGCCGTCGTGGGATCGATCGTGATATCGGTAATGAGATCACGAGTGAGATTATCCTCGCCGCCATCGCAGTTGTCGTCAGTTGGTTCTTTTTCAAATTGTATGTTTGCTTGTGGCCCTGGAGGCTGAGGTTGTGACCGTCGTAGTTTTGAAAGCGGGCGTCGTGGCTCTGACAGTGGCTCTCGGAGCTCTGTTCGTGACCTTGGTAGCTGAGCTGGTGGCTCTGGTAGATCGCCGGGTGGACCTCGTAGCTCTGCTCGTGGCCCTTGTAGCTCAGCTAGTTGCCATTCACCATCCGATGTCTGGACCCCCCTGGAATTCCCGGATCGGGCTTTGAGGACGGGCTCGGCGGATCTCTTGCCTGCCAGACAACCCACCCATTTGAACCAACATGGGTCGGTTTCTGCTGCCCTGCACCTCCTCCTCTTCCTCCTCCTCCTCATTCACTCCTCATGTGGCTCAGCTGGTGGTCCTCTTGGTCCTGCTTGCGGCTCTCGTAGCTCAGCTGATGGGTCTCGAAGTTATGCCTGTGGCTCTCGAAGCTCACGTTGCCCTCGTAGTTCGGCCGGTTGTCCTCGGAGTTTTTTTTCTGGAGGTTCTCGTAGTGCTGCTGGTGGTCGGAGCTCCGCTGGTCCTCGCTGCGGAGCTTGGATGCCCTCATCGTGCTCGTACAACTAGCCCAGGAAGTAGTCGAGGAGTGCGTCCACCTGTGCGTCCTTCTGGACGTCGAAGTCCTCGGGGTCAAAGTAGGAGTCCTCGTCTGCCAAGCCGCGGCGTTCCACGTTCTGGGTGCCAGCGCCATGCAACAGATCATGCTGGTCACGCCCTGATAGCTCGGCAGGTGGCCCGGGTGCCACAGCTGGCGATCCTCGACGCCCGGCTGGTGGTACTCGAGGTTCTGCTGGTGGCCCTCGTAGCGCAGCTGGTGGTTCTCGAAACGCTGCTGGTGGACATCGTAGCACAGAGGGTGGTTATCGGAGCTCTGCTGGTGGCCCACGTCGCGCTGCAGGTTGCTCTGGTAGCCCTGCTTGTGGATCTCGCGGTTATACTTGTAACCATCGTAACTCTGGTGGCCAGGTGGAGAACCCGTGTGCGGTGTATTCGCCCTAGCCGTTGAAATCGAAATGCCCGTTGTGGGCGTCGGAATCGTACTCGTCGTAACGGGCGCAACCACTGTCCAATGGTACCTCCGCGACGACGTATTTAGTACCCTTTCGGGCTGCTCGGAAATGTCGTAACTGGTGTCGGTCTTGGTGGCGTATTAGGCGTCGTACTGGTGGTGGTTCTCGTCCTCGGGATGCCTGTTGTGCACCCCATTCTCGTACTTAAACTGCCTGTTGCGCAGATCGTTCTCGTACTTGGGCTGCCTGTTACGCAGCTCGGCGGCCGTGGTAATGATAATGATGTCGTCGGGTCGAATAAGTATCCCATGTCGGACGCTGTGCCCCACTCGTTTTTGGGCCGCGTGTGTTCGTGCCCGTGTTCCTTCATGCGTGTACGATCTCGGCACAGTTGCCGGTAGGTCTCCACCAGAATGGGTCGGTCACATAGCCCTAAGGTAATGTTGAAGGCGTCCACCTTGAAATTGAACAACTGGTGGGTGATGTTGTAATGGCGGCTGATCACCTTCAGGCCATGGCGGCGCCCCCTGACCGCGACCGCCTTTGCGGGGCTGAGGCCGGCCCAGCACGCGCGCGGCGCGCGGCGCGCGTGTGGGCGAGTGCGGGGGATAAGCCCCGCATATGGTATTCCTCCTCCTCCTCCTCCGTTTCCCCGTCCTCCCCATCCTTTTCCTCCTTTTCCTCCTGCTTCATTTCCCCCTCCTCCCCCACCTCCTCCTGAAATTAATTTTAGCTTAGCCCCGCGTCGCTGGGCCGCGGCGCGCTTCCAGCGGTGCCGCGCTCGCTGCGGAGCAATGCCCAATACAATTGCGCAGCTGGTCGGCCGCCGCGACGCCGAGGAAGCCGCCCCCTGGGGCGTTGCCGGCGGCGCACTGGCCGGCGGGGCTCACGGCGGTGGCAAGCCTGTCGGGCTCTGCCCACGCCGCAGCCAGCGCCTGTGCCCGACGTCGCGCCTCCCCCGATGCGGCGCGGCGAGGGCGCTGGGGCCGCGGGGCGGCTGCTGCTGCTGCTGCTGCTGTTGCGGGCCGCGACGCACCTGGTGCGGCGGTCGCGGAAGTGGCGGCCGAGGGCATCGCGGAGCGACCTGGTCCGCCCGCGGCGGCCGCGCCGCTTCGGGCTGCTCCCCAACACAGGCGGAAGCGGAGCGCAGCGCAGGAGCAGGAAGGGCACGCGACTGGGGGGCTGGCCCGACAGCCTGGTGCGAGGCGAGGCGGCTGCTGGCGCGGCGGCCCTTCGCGAGGAGGCGGCTGATGCTGGCAGTGCCCGCCCTGCCGACGCCCTAGCCGACTGAGTTTGGCCGTCCGCGGAGGAGGCGAAGGCGGCCAGCCGTGTGGCCCGCATGCAGGCCAAGAAGGAAGATTACCCGCCTGTTCGCCCTTGGCCGACACGGCGGCTTGCCCTTGGCCGCGGTGCCGCGTGGTCTCCTCCAAGTTGAGGCGAGGCCACGGGCCGACTTGGCGCGAGGTGGATAGAGCCGCGATCCCCTCGACGTTCCTGCTCTGGGCCATGGTATTCGCGTACGGCCAGGGCGGGCCTAGCGGGGACCGGCGGGCGGGCGCTACGTCGTGGCTTCCTCCTCCTCCTCCTCCTCCTCCTCCTCCTCCTCCTCCTCCTCTCCTCCTCCTCCTGCTCCGTCGTTTTCCAATCCACCACGGGTCCTCGTCGACGATCGTCTTTCAGGTGAGCCCCCCCACCTCGCCCGCGCACCCTGCAGCACCGACTGCAAGCGGCCTGGTCGAAGACTTGAAAATTTGGGTTTGCGCGATCCCTTCACCACTCTCCTCTCTTTGCGGGAGGAGATGGGAAGCGGGGTGGAGAGGGATGGCAGAGGGGCAGCGCAGGGCGAAAAGGTGGGATGAGGGAGGGGGACGGCCATGTCAGGGGAGCGGGGAAGGGGGCTGGGAGGCGGAGATGGGACGCAGAGGGAGCAGCCTGGCCGAACATCTGACTGGCTGTTGCTGGCAAGAGAGCTCCGCTGCGGAGATGACCGACGAGAGCTGGCCAGGTCGTCGAGGCTCTCGTTGAAGCTCACCGACAACTTGTGGTTCAACCTCCGGCTGATTCGCGGGCGCGCCCCACCCGAAGAGGGCGTCGAAGCCCGGTCCTGAGGTAGGCCTGCGCCCGATGAGGGCGTCGAAGGCTGGTCCTGAAGAGAGCCAGCACGGGGCGGATGCAGCGACGCCCCAGGCCCGATCCAGGCGCCTCTCGGCCCCTCGGCCAGGGGGAGCGCGGGCAACCTCGAACACCCCATGGGGAGGCGTCCGCCCTGGGGAGCGGGAGCCTGCGCTGGCACCCCACCCGCAGCTTCCATGGAAACTCCTGCAACCGAGATTTGCCCGACTCTGCAAGTCCGTGACCACAGGCCGTCGTCACGGAAACCTCCTGGAAAATCGCAGGCTCAATGAAAAGGAATGGGGGCGAGGGGGATGAAGCAAATCGACACTCCCAAGCCTGTCAACCTCTTCTAGACCCCGAACCTCCAATTTCGGCCCACCCCGCATACGTTTCGTGACCTCCACTGAAGGCCCCATTGAGAGGGTTCGCATGGCGCCGCCGCGCCCACTTCGGCACACCCCTCACACGTTTTCGTGGCCCTGCAGGGAGCTCCACCGAAGGCCCTAGTAGGAGGGTTCGCATGGCGCCGCCGTACCCACTTCGTCACACCTCTCGGTCCCCCTCCTTCGTCTCACCTGCCTCGCGATACTCCCACTTGCATATGGTTGGGACCTTCGCCAATGTAATTTTCTGATGGCCTCAGGTCCCGAAGCGGGCTCCCCTGATGCCAATATCGAAAGACAAGATTAAGCGTGATTTGTGTATCATCCTCACCTTCCTCGTCGTTGTCCTTCTGCTCTAGAGGATTCCGGAACGGACATTCCCACAGGTCACGGGGGATCTTCGGAAGCATCCAAAGCATATGAACTGCCCAAACGAGATGGACCATCATCCCACCAGCACCCTCGGCGTAGGTGGTCTAACGGGCTCTTTCTTTCCTTTCCCAAAGCGCATTTCCCCTCGAGGCGGGATATCCCCCCTTCTGTTTTCTTTATAGGGGGTTCGCGAGCGGTCAGAGCGCCCAAGATGGTCAAATATGGCTCCAAGAGGGCCCCCGATGCTTCAAGATGACACCCCAAATGGCTCAAAATAGCCGAAGATGGTTCACAGATGGCTTCCGCCATGCCTCCGAGAGGCCCCAAGAGGACCACAAGACGGACCCACCTGCTCTCGGAGCCCCCTCAGGACTTCCCCGAGAGGCCTAAGAACGGCATTGCTTTGTGCTTCTCGCCTTTCGCTCCCGATGCGGTTTTGATGCCTCCCGATGGCCCCAAAATAGCCCTAGAGAGCCCAAAGAGGGGGACAACAAGTCTCAAGACGGCCCCAAGACCGCCCAGGAGCGCCCCAAGGCAAGGGCGCCCCAAAAGAGACCCAAGAGGCGATTTTGATCGGAACCCCATTCTCGTTTGATCGACGCCCTTCAAGATGGTCCCAGGAGACCTAGCAACGATACGTAGCACCCCGAAATTGCGGATACGAGTGAGGGGGCGAGCGCGGGCGACGCGGGCGTCGAGCCGGCGGACCTCGTGGCCATCACCTTCCCTGTCGATGGCGCCCTCCTCCTCCTCCTCCTCCTCCTGCTCCTCCTCCTCCTCCTCCTCCTCCTTTTCCTCCTCCTTTTCTCCTCCTCCTCTCCTCCTCCTCTCCTCCTCCTCTTTTTCCTCCTCCTCCTCCTCCTCCTCCTCCTCCTCCTCCTCCTCCTCCTCCTCCTCCTCTTCCTCCCCCCCCATCCCGATCCTCCCCCTCCTCCTTTCCGTCGTCGTCGTCTTCCTCCTCCTCCCCCTCCTTCTCCCTCCTTTCTCGTCGTCCCCCTCCGCCCCCCCTCCTTTTCCTCCTAGCCCTCGTCGGCCTCCTCTTCGTCCTCGTACTCGTCGTTGTCGTTGTCGTCGTCGTCGTCGTCGTCGTCGTCGTCGTCGTCGTCGTCGTCGTCTTCCTCCTCCTGCTCCTCGCCCTGCTCCTCCTCCCCTCCTCTGCGGAGCGCGCGCGCTCGCCCGGGGGTTGGGGCGGGGGGGCGACGGCAACGGCGACGGCGACGGCGATGGCGGCGGCGGCGACGGCGACGGCGATGGCGGCGGCCGCGGCGGCGGCGACGGCGACAGCTGGGTCGCGGGCTCTCCACCTCCACCTGGAAGGAATTCAAAAACAGCCCGCCGCAGGCGCCGAACATTTTGACTTGTACACTGAACGCGGTTTGGGTCGCATGTTCTCCACCTGGAGCGAATGCAAAAGAAACCCGCCGCAGGCGCCGAAGTTTTGGCTTGTTCAGTGAACGTAGTTTGGGTCGCGTGTGGGTCGCGGGCTCTCCACCTCCACCTGGAAGGAATTCAAAAACAGCCCGCCGCAGGCGCCGAAAATTTTGATATGTACACTGAACGCGGTTTGGGTCGCAGGTTCTCCACTTGGAGCGAATGCAAAAGAAACCCGCCGCAGGCGCCGAAGTTTTGGCCTGCTCAGTGAACGTAGTTTGGGTCGCGTTTGGGTCGCGGGCTCTCTACCTCCGAAAATCTTCGTAAAATTGACGATTTCGGCCTCTTGAAGCGCTCTGGAGAGGCGTCTTGGAGCGTCGTGGAGTGCCTTGGGGGGCCTCTCGGGCCGTCTTGGGCCTACCTTGGGCGTCCTGGAGCGGTATTTCGGCGACTCGGGGCCCGTTTGGGCCGTCTTGGGGGCCTCTGGAGGCCCTCCTGGACTATTTTGGAACTCCCCGGCCGCCCCTCCTCCCATGGGAAGCCGGAGGCGGCGGCCTCCGAGGCCCAGGACGCGGAAACCCTTTTAAAAACACAGGGAAAATGAGACCCGGTACCCCCATGGAGGCGCTTCGGCGCTCTTGGACCGATGGAAGCTCGAAAACGCGAGAAGCCAAAAACATTGAAAAGACCATTGAACATATACGACTTTGGCCTCTTCGGGCCGTACCGTGATACCTATCAGACTTCTTGGGGTCTCTTGGAGGACACCTGGGAGCCTCGAGAGTCGTCGGAAGGCTGACTTGGGCTGCTCGGGAGCGTCTTGGGCCATCCTTTCGCATTCTGGGGGCTCCTGGGGGGCGTCTTGGGCCCTCCTGGAGCGCTGTGGAGGCAGCCCGGAAAGGCTGGGGCAGCGGTGCCGGGAGCGTCCCCGAGATGCGGCCATATCTTTTCAGCGCGTTCCGGGAGCATCTTCCCGGAACGCGCTCGTGGCAGGGCGCCCACTTCCGAGGTCGTTGGCATGGGAAACCGCAGCGCGTGATCATTCCAGCCCGTTCCAGCGAAGACCGTCCGGAACGCGCTTGGGCAAACGCTGGGTTTGGGGAAGGCGAGTGGGAACCGTTCAGGCAGTTTGGGATGCTCGGGACAAGAGGCGGAAGCCATCCTATCAGACATGCAGTCTTCCTGGAGCCGTCTTGCAGAAAACACAGGAAACATGAGACCCTGCAGTCGTTCCTGGAGCCGTCTTGGAGCCCTCTTGGGCTGCCCTGGAGCCTGTTGGAGCCCTCTGCGGAATGGTCTTGGAGCCCGCGCCGAGGATTTGGGAAATGTCTGGGACAATCGCGGCGGCCTCCGAGGCCCGGGACGCCGAAACCCGGTAAAAACACAACGAAAATGAGCCCCGGTACTCCCATGGAGGGTCGGGCAGCTGTTTTCGGGCCCCTGGGCTAGAACCATCGCGCGCGCTCAGGTTCTAGCCCAGGCCGGGGGGGCGCTGGGCGATCTTGGACAACGCTATCAAGCACAGGCGCGCGACGGCATCTGAGGAGCTTCTGAGGTGTTTCGCATGCTTCGTCAACTGGCTGTTGGAGGCACCTCTTGGGTGCTTCTTGGGGGGGCCTCTTGGATCCGATTGGGGGCCTCTTGTGACTTCCCGAGAACCTCTCGGGGTAGAAAGCTCGGGTTCTCGGTTCGTGCTTCCCTTCTTGGGCCTCTCTTGGGGCCGTCTTGGGGCCCTCTCGGGCCGTCTTGGGCGCCTCAGGCACCGCCTTGGGGCCCTCGTGGGCCGCCCAGGGCCCTCTTGGAAGCCTCTTCGGCTATCTTGGAGCTGTCTGGGAGGCCTCTTCCTCCTCCTCGTCCCCCTCCTCCTCCTCCCACTCCAGCTCTCTCTCCTCCTGATCTTCCTCCTCCTCCTGCAGCGTGTTCCGGAAGGCTCCCGCCGGAACATGCTGTGCACAAGTGCTGTCACTGCTCCCGCCACCGTGCCCTGGGTGGTGGGTCAGAGGCCTCATGGGTGTTGGTTTGGATCTCGTGGTTGGCCTGTCGGGGACGTCGTGAAGGCAGTTCCGCAGCTTCTCGGTAGCCGTTTTGGGACCGTTGTGGGGCCTCCTCGGGGCTGTTTTGGGGCCTCTTTAGGCCTCGTTTGGGCCTCCTGGGTGCCTCTTGGGGGCCTCCTGGGGCCTCTTGGGGGCTCCTTGGAGCCTCCTGGGGCACTCTTCAAGCGGGAGAGTCGAATTTTGGAGTCGTGGTCCCCCTCTTGGGCGCATCTTGGGGCCGTCTTGGGGCTTTGTTGGGCTGTCTTGGGCGACTCTGGGGCCGTCTTGGGGCCCTTTTGGGCCGTCTTAGGGCGCTCTTGGGGGCCTACTGAGCCGTCTTGGAACGTCAGACAGCCGAAAAGGCTGGAAGGCCAAAATCGTTCGAAAATCTTAGTAAAATTGACGATTTCGGCCTCTTGAAGCGCTCTGGAGAGGCGTCTTGGAGCGTCGTGGAGTGCCTTGGGGGGCCTCTCGGGCCGTCTTGGGCCTACCTTGGGCGTCCTGGAGCGGTCTTTCGGCGACTCGGGGCCCGTTTGGGCCGTCTTGGGGGCCTCTGGAGGCCCTCCTGGACTATTTTGGAACTCCCCGGCCGCCCCTCCTCACATGGGGGGTCGGAGGCGGCGGCCTCCGAGGCCCAGGACGCAGAAACCCTTTTAAAAACACAGGGAAAATGAGACCCGGTACCCCCATGGAGGGGCTTCCGCGCTCTTGGACCGATGGAAGATCGAAAACGCGAGAAGCCAAAAACATTGAAAAGACCATTGAACATATACGACTTTGGTCTCTTCGGGCCGTACCGTGATACCTATCAGACTTCTTGGGGTCTCTTGGAGGACACCTGGGAGCCTCGAGAGCCGTCGGAAGGCTGACTT